ACACAAAGAATTTTTTTGTTTTTGTAACCTTTTATGTATATAATTTTGTACAATCCAATCCTCCTTCTTATAAGCTTATTTTAAGGAAAAACCGAACGAATGATGTATTTTTGTATGCTTTGTATATTATAACACATGTAACCTTGATGTACATGTACAACAAAATAGAAAACAACAAATTTAAGTATTTAAGGGCTTTAAAGCGTGCTTAAAACGAATCCACTAGTTCTTTTAAGAAATTTTGTGCCTACTTTACTCAAAGAAGAAATTTAAAAAACATAATTACAAATTAAACTAATAAACTACGATGCCTAAAATCGCAATTTAAATAAGGAAAGATAGCCCCCCCTCAAAAAAAAAGTGTTATTGTGTATATATGTGGAAGAATAAAAGTGCTACGAGCCTATATTCATGCTGAGACTTTTGATTTTTGCCATTATTAGATTATTTATTATTATTGGCAATAATGGGTAATTTTTAAATTATGTAACAAAAATTCGAAATTCCAATTAAAGAACAGGAATAAATTTTATAATTTAATTTTGCTGCATACATTTGGCCTTCCAAATTTTAAAAGGCTAAGTAAAGCTTTGGATGGCAATATGACAGAGTAGTTTATGAATGAATGTTTGGAGTTAGAGCTTTATAGAGCTCAGAAGGGATGTAGCTAGTTTAAGATAGAAGTTTTAAATATATCAGTTAGGGCGTGAAATGACCTTAGTCGCTAAAACGCCCTTAAAAATTAATAATATTAATTATAAATTCAGTATAATATTTATAATATTTTTAATAAAATATTGTAAAATATGAATGTCATTGTTGTACTTATCTTTTTATAAAAAAATATAGACCATCAACATAGGTGTTAATTCACGAACGGCCAAATAACTGTAAATTAAAACACCTCATGCAAATTTTTTTGTAACATAAACCTAAACAATTTACATAAGATAATTTAGTGAGAAAATAGTGTTATTTAGTGAAATTTAGTGTTAAAAATTCCATATTTTAAATAGAACGCCTTTATAAAAACTAACTTTAAAAATACCACGAATCTAAAAAGGATTACATAAACTGTAGGAGAACAGAGTGAAAAATTCCTTTTTTTTATTGTAATATAAATTAAAGAGAATTTTGTTTTGGAGTAAGAAAATTAACGAGGTTTTTAACCATCATAGAGATTCGTTTTTTTCTGTCAATGTAACAATTTACAAATGTATTATTTACCAATTAAAAAATATCGTAAAAATATCTTATTAAAGGCAGTAGTAATTTGTTTAAGGATTATGTATTTTTGTTAGTGTTACTGTCATTATTACTGAAAATATTTACTAAACCTAAATAGAAACAATGTTGTGTCCTGTGCAAACATGTCTATTTTAAGTTATACAAATATGTATTTGAGAATGGGGGTTACAAACTAATCCAAACAAAGTTGTTTATCGAAGTAAAAAACAAATTCGACTGTTTTTATCGTATCATAAGTAAAAAACGAATTCGACTGATATATATGCCATAATAATCTTAAAATCCATACATACTAAAGCCAGAACCATATTAAAAGCGAGTAAATTGCTTAAAATATTTTTTTCTCTCGCTTCTTACTGTCCTTTCGCAATTACGCTCGTACGTGTCTTAATAATATTTTCGACCTATTATTACTATTTAAAATGATCTCACCTCTGTAGTTTCCTCTTGTCAGTTTAATGTTTTGTGATTGTGTGTTATAAATGAAACTATACGAGTAAAACCAGATACCGAACAGATGAAATTTTAATTTAGGAAATTCTGAACTTAATCGATCCAAATGATCCATCACTTCGGCAATAAGGAAAAAGAGGCAGTTATGATAAATTTCAAATAAAGCAATTGTATTAGAAATTATCAGCAATTATCAAAATGCAGAAAGTATTTTCACTCTTGTTGATACATTTTTATTTATGGAATTATTGACCTTAGCTTAGATTTTGGAAGGAGTCAATTAGAAATTTCAACTTGTTGATTGAAGCACGGAAATTGTAATCGACCCTTTATTGGAAATCAATTAATCAAGTTGGTATTTTCATAGTAATTATTGTTATTAATCGGTAGAAAGGGTTTGGTAGAATTGCAATTTTTTTTTGGTTTAACACTTCCATATTGAAAGTACAATTAATAAACGAAAAATAATATTGCAAACTTTTAAGCAGTTAAAAAATCGTAAATTAAAAATATAAAAACACTTTTTGTATATACTGTTTTCATTCCATTTATAGTGTTTGTTTTTGAAAAATGCCTATTTGTAAGTATTGTGAGTTTGAATGCAGGGCCGCTAGATTCGAACCCGGGACCTTACCTTTCAGTGATACTGCCGTGTCAACGCCTAAACTGTTGCAGCCCCCCCATTTATAATCTTATTAATTCTTTTTTGGTAACGAAAAATGAAACAAGTTCACCCTAGGGGTTGTGAAATGTACTATTGAGAAAATCTCAGCGAATTCGAGCCTGTTCACGTTCACCTTTCATTTACACGACACAATAATAGCATTTCTCTTCGACTAGGTCGCAAAAATAATTAATATTTCTTGACGTCGAAATTACATGCACACCTTTTGTCAGCAATTGCATGGCAATTTTCAATTAGAAACATCCGGAGAAAGACCATTAGAAATAGTTAAAAAATGCACTCCAGGTACAACAATACAAGGGAAGTTTCAACAGTTCATCATATCTAATAATCAGATCTGATGTTTTTTTAAATTTGGTATTCGTATTATGGTCCTGATTTCGACCCCTGGCGTCGCCCTAAGCTTTTTCTTTAAGAATTTGAATAATAAGCAGACTATTTTTTTCGATTTACGATGGAGTGAGTCGAGGAATAATTCTTTGTTTTTTGTTGTGTGTGTGTGTGTGTGTTTGTGTTTGTTCACAATATCTACACAGTGGAGATACATATACAAACAAAAAACAACGAATTATAAGTAGACTGAGTATTAGTATAAGTATTAAGTATAAGCAAGTCCATAATCCCAGAAGCCAGGGGGTGGTTTGAGGTAAAAACCATGAGGTTATATACAAAGTACTATTTTTCCCCATCAGAAAGTTTTTACGCAAAATAAAACCGAATTAACATATATTAATTTGCACATCGATATGTTTAATTGAAAACACTTTCGCCGTAATTGCAGTGAGTATTAATCGGAACGAAATAAAACCAACTTTCGCTGTTTAATCCTGTTTTCGGAAAGTAATCAAGTAAGGGGAGAAATCTGGATATGCTGTTTGCCAGGTGTTTGGATAGGTCTCTGGATAGCACCCCATCATCAAACAGAAGTGCACGAGGACATGTCCCCCCCAAAAAAAAAGATGTAAGCGAACAAACCTTCCCTCCAAGATAGTTGTCGGGGAAGGCAACGGGACATATCTCAAAGCGCTAAAAAAGAGGTGGTGTTGGAGGAATACTCGGACAAAAAATTCCGCAGACGATCCGTGAAGGGCCGTTCAATAGGCCATCCTAGCTGCAAAAATTCCAAACGATCTCACATCAGGAATGGATGCGTTGAAAAAAGGTTGTCCCGATAACCTGTGAGAACAAAAGTGTAAAGGAATTGCTCATGGAAACGATGTCTTCTGTCCACCCGTGGAAAGCGGCACCTCAGGTTAGAGCCCCTATAGAGAAATTAAAAAGACCACTATAGTGGCAGCGTCCGTAGTGTACAGAAGGTCAGCACTCGGACACTGCCACTATTCTCGTCCTGATGAAATCCCAAAGCCCGGGTATTAATATCGGGCAATGGAGGATCGTCAGCCAGAGAGTAGAAAGCAAAAGTCTAACATTTGTGGTAGACATAGATTGCTTTGAGGCTCTAAGAAAAGCAAACTTGAAACTTTATCTTGGCTTTGCAACGATAACACTAACGGTCATCAAAAGAATAGTAAAGAATGATGTTGAGGGCGCTTCAGGCAAACCTCCAGTACAGTAAAGCTGTAACGCTTACGCTTTGTCGTGGGGCCAAGGAGAACAATGTCGATGTAATTCTAGAATAGCATGGGCATGTACACGAACTTTCAAATAGAAGTTCACACGAAAGGTGAGCGTAATGCAATTTGATCTAACGGTACAAACTACTTCATGTCTAATAGTCAGCATCATTGAATCTAATACGAAAATCGTCTGATCGAAGGTGGACCTGAATTTCAAAACCACTACTTTAAGAATGCAAAAATCAGTTTCAGTCTTTTACACAATCATTTAGAAAATAAAAAAAAGATTTGAAGGCTGGCAGGACGCCTTCTGTGAAGTTTGAAATCACTCTGTGGTAAAACAATTTAGGTGAAGAAGAAGTGCACAGTTTCTGGACACCGACAATTATCCTCTAGCGAGATTTGAAAAAAAAAAGTTATTTAGTAAAACAGGAAGAAGCTCATACGTGGGTACGGTAAGACTTTTGGAATTTATTAATAATAAGTATATTAAAGAATGTTATATTATGATGGGTCGGAATACCGACATAATTTACTTTCCTTCGTATGTGAATTTTTCCACAGTTATACCGGGGAGATTTACTGAAATTAGATCGTTTTCTTGACAAATGTATTCTATTTCGGTTTAATGGAATTTACCTAGTAAAAGACAAATACCTCAATCTCGTATTGAATTCATATTTGCTTTAGTATTGAACTTCAAGGGTAGACGAAAATTTGTATATTAAGTTAGTATTTATAAATACATAGTTATAAAATAATACCAAGAAGAAATCAATGCGAAAATAGGTTAGACAAAAATTTTTGGTCGAGAAGATGTACATTCATATAACATCATGTTTTCCTGTTTTTAAATTCGAGAAACGCCAAAAGCGATTTTGTGACTACAAAAATATAAATGCAGTGCTGTGAGAATCAGACTGTGTAGAATCGCTGGATTAATTAGTGTTTAGCGGGCCCTCGACGGAAAGAAGAGAACGGTAAGGTGAGGATGGGGGCAAAACTAGAGCTGGTAGCGGTATTCACGGGGCGGGGGTCCTTTAAATCTCGCTGGCTCTTTCTCCAAGCCGCCATATCAGCCATGAACTTCATCAAGCTCATTCCCATTCTTTTCTTGGCGCACTCCCCCGTCGGTAAGTACTTTTCGGCAGTTCATAAACGTCTAACATATTGAAAAGGACGAACAATTTTTTCTCGGTCTCTAAATTGATTTCAATGTCGACTAACCAAACATGTTTATATTTTTGTTTAATTTTTAGCTTTTAGCCCTTAGAATCGCGACAAATTTATTTTTCAATGGAAATCATGTACAATTAAATCCCTATTTAAAAGTCCACTCAGAGTAGATTGTTAGTGAGATTTTTTGATTAGATCTGCAGGTTTATTGTATCTTTGTCATTTCAGACAATGACGTCTAGGGCATAGCAAAAATTTCGGGAACCACCAAACTACCGATTAAAGTGGTTGTAGTAACGCTTCTCCAACGTCAATGGCTTGGTTAATCCTCGCTTCGGTCGTGAACTTAATAAGTTCACGCCATGGCTTTCGTTATTCATCTCCTTTAAGTACGCCTTAGTAGCTAGTAACAGCAACAGTATGGCAATAGAGAAGAAAAAGAGATAGAAGGGAGACCTTTTTTCAGATCAATAAATCTATAATCATCTTCAAAGAATTTTCTTTTTATTGGTTTGCTTATTGTTTTTTATTTATCTTTGTGTTTCATTTTATATAAAACTTTCCAGACTTGTTTTCAATTTAAATATCAAAACTCCTTTGCTATTCCTCAACAGGATCTTTACCGCTAACAAATAGAAATGGTGTAAAATGACTAATCTCGATTAATATTGGTCAACTTCTTTCACAACTTTTTATATTGTTTGTGATTTCCTTGTTCAATTATAAAAGCCCTTGAGATTGTATTAATTTAAAATTTCCTTGACACACCGAGATGGGCTCGAATCGTTTCGTTATGCTAGGATAATGTTCACACATGGAACAATACAAAGATTAAAGAGATAAAACGGTTAGAATTTAATTAATTGAAAAGTATTTACAGAAACGTTGGTATAAAAAATATAGATTAAATGGATACATATGATTTATTTAACCATAACATTCTAGCGGTCAAAGATGAAAAAATTATTGTTATGTCCCCTCATCCGCTACAACCAACAGGTAGTTGGACGTTAAGCCTTCTTGTAACACTTTTTTCTTCTTTTTTGTTTACTTACCATAACATATTTTGTTCTTAAATGAGCTCAGGACGGCCATTTACCACCTGGTCCGCAAACTCTCGTTCCATACAAGCGTTTGCATTCTCAAGACATACAAGGGGAAGATTCCATGAGCAACCTTAAAGGATTAGAGTTCAAATCGCCTAACATGCTGAAATACTTGCTTTGCCAATATAAGTTTCTTGAAATACATTTCGTGCTTGTTGTAAATATAGTCGATTAGAATGTTTTTTCTAAATCAGCTGTGCTACAATTCAGAATTGTCAAAACATTAAAATATTTGAAAAAAGGCCGACTTGTTCTGTCACGAAACATAAAAAGTACCAGTCATTGGTAAAAATGCTTAAAAATAAATTTCAACGAAAAGAAATTCTACCTACAAACCATGAGAATCCCTCAGAAGAAGTTCTGTAATCAATATAAAAAAATCAATAGTTTATATAATAATTATAATGTGCTATTGAGAAATAATTCAGCTCTTGCTTTATCACAGTTTCAAAAAATCTATATTATTATATATACTTTATTTATTATATTTAATATGGGCTAAGTCTTCTTTACAGCCAGAAAGGTCCGTGGGTAAAAGGAAAAAGGATTTTTTCAAAGTTGCTATGGTATTTTATATAAATCTCACAGCACAATTACTTTAAACAAATGTAAAAGTTTATAATAATGAAAATTTATTGATGTAAATATCTCAAAAAAAAAAAATTATCAGCGTTGAAGCTCAATGACTCAAGAACTTAAATTTACCTTTTATCCGGATTCTATTTAAATTTTAATAATATCTGTGTGATTTTTTATTGGTGTTACCTTCCTGTAAAAGTTAATATCCTCGACAACAGCAAAAAGTACATATTTCACATTTTTCTTTTACGTTTTCCGAAACGCAATTTAAAAAAAAAAAGTAAAATCGCATTCCATTCTTCTTTTATTTTTTAAATCTGTCCGTACAACCAAGCGATGTTGCAGTACCCGTTTCTTGGTTAAGTGCCGTTGCCAATTTTATAGCTCTTCCGACCGTTCGGCCTCCTGGGTCAATAGCACCTGGCCTAATCTGTAGAAAAAAGTCCCCTAAGCTAAAGCCTTCGCCAAATCAAATCCTAAACGTTGTCCTCCATTTTCCACAAGCATTCCACCATGGATTTAAGTTCGATGTCAATAAATTGTCTCTCAGACCTGAGTCAGTTCAGTTGTTCTTGCAATTACGGACGGGATTTCTCACAGTTAAGAATCATTTGAAATTATTAAGCCGAGTCGCCGGATAGGAGAAAGGTTTAGGTCAAGATTTCTTCACAAGGGTCGTTCATCCTTAATGGCTAAACTGGTAGAGAGGAGTGTACGGTATTATTTAATAAAAACACCGAGCTGATGCATATTGAACATAAAACAGGATTTCCATTTGCCCTTGCCGTTTAAAGTTGATTGCACTCTGAGTTAATTATACCTTAACGCTTTAACTCGCGGGATTTAATTGTATACATAATACGTTTTTGCATTTAATAACATTCAAGGTTACTACAAATGTATGTGCAAAATTAATGTTAAAATAATAGTTTTTTAAAATATTTTTTTTAAAAAGATTGTTTCCTAACTTTAATAGGAGGCTAATGATTTTTAATTATCTCTGGAAAAAAATACATAAATTAAAAAAAAACACTTCTTCTAGAAACAGTCATGTTTTACTTATTTTTGTTTTAATAAACAATATTTTTAAAACAAAGTAATGAAAAGGTCATATATTATTAAAAAATATTTAAGCAATTAAATAAACACAATATAAAAAAATGTTCGTTCATAGCACTCAAGCTAGCTACAACTTGATACACAAAATCAATAATAAAATAAAATATCTATTTTTAAACATTTTTCCGACATTTAATAAGAAGCTAATTTTCAAAATCTCTGGAAAAATATTTTTAAATTATATACTTCTTCTGTCTAAATGATTCACTAATAAGCCATTAAAAATTGCATTTGAATTAAAATTTAAAAAATAAATAAAAAGTAGATCATTTTAAACATATATATTAAAATTCCTAATAACATAATGGTATTTCGATATATTTTCATTTAACCTAACGTTTCTATTACAATGAATGAAATTTGTAATACTAAGCAACAACTAAATAATAATACTCAAAATAACTAAAAAATTACCGACGAAATTAATTTTTAGAGAGTGAGCTTATAAACCTGGAATTTGGTCGTTATCGATCATTTTGATCTTCCTGGGTTGGTCTGTAAGAAGCATTTCGGCATCTTGAAATACAATCTTTTTGTAAGGTGTGGGGTTCAACGTTATCTTGTTTCTCGGTGCCTTTTGTGAAAAAAACAACAACATTGGAACAATTAATTTTAATCATCAATTCAAAAAATACATTTTAATAAATATATCAGAATCTATTAACGCTAATACATAATTTATTACACAAATATTAAATCAATATTTTTCTGACAAAAATGCCTTCCTACCATTCCAAATCTCTAATTAAAAATCATTATTAAATTAAGAAATAAAGTGGATATAGAATTCCTCTTTAAAAAAAATAAATAAAACATTGGAACAATTAATTTTAACGATCAATTTAAATAAATAAATCATTGGCACAATTAATTTTAATGATCAATTCAAAAAATACATTTTAATAAATATATCAGAATCTATTAACGCTAATACATAGTTTATTACACACATATTATAATCGATATTTTTCTGTTGTCTATTGAAATGTCTATTCTTGCTATTCCAAATCACTAATTAAAAATCATTATTTACTATGTTAAATCTGTACTAAACTCTAAATTGTTTTTTTAAAAACGATGTTATGATTGAAAATATATAATAAACTTTAATCAATATTTAAAATCCAAAATTAAAAAAGCATCTTGTCAAGATAGTTATGCAGAATTGAATTAAATGAATGAAAACTCAAAAGTGAGTAGAAATATTTTGATTGAATATAAAAAATATTTTTTTGCATTGCATAAATTCACTTTTTTCCACATTCTACATGTATTTGTTAAATTTAAACAATGTTTGTAAATCCCAGGCCCTGAAGATGATCTCAATAAAGATTGAAACGTTGGCACGATAAAGAAAATATTTTTCTGAAACCTACATCACACCCGACCGCATCTCACGATTTCCGAATAATCATCGACTAACGGTCACTATCACCACACATTAATGGATAATATTACACCGTGGATCAGAAAATATAACATTTTTCGCAAAATGGATCTAGGAGACTTCCCGAGGCTTTTGTAGGTTTTTAGGAAATTTAACATATACTTAAAAAATTAAATAAAATAAATGTTGAATCGACACTGAATAAATTAATCTCAAACTTGACACTTTTAACTTAACTGAAAGTTTTAAATTAAAATAAAACGAACTCCTGGAAGGTATCAAGAAAATCATCATTTTTAATTCAAAAAACGAAATTAAAAGTTGAATTCTCCAACCAAAATTCGGTACCAAAGGCGGATCTGCAGAAGTTCGATAGGGTTTTCCAGCCTCCGTTTGTTCCTCACAGAAGGCCAACTGTTTCCTTAAAAATCAACCGCGTTTTCCCCAGCGCTGGTTTTCTGAATTCATTAAAAATCGAGCAAAGGAAGTGGAGAGTGTCCTCCTCATTTGTGCTGTACACCGAGCACTTGCACTTATCTCCATCATACGGTTTGTCCTATGCTGAAAATCCACCTCGTCACTTTGATATCTATGCTTGCATCCTTTTCAGGCTTGCACACCTGGTATCTTGCGTTACAGGTTAAACTTGTAGAAGGGCGCTGAAGTTTGTCTTTTTTCTGGCTTTCAATTCATTCGTGAAAGGTGGTATAGGATATTGTACTTTCTTGCTGAGAATTGTTCCACCATTGTTCTTCGAAAGGTTGTTGCTCGGCATGTAGGCTAACTTTACTAAGTAACTAAGATAGAGATTCAATGTGTAGGTTAACACTTTGTTCAGTTCGGTCTTGAGTACGTAATGAGGAAAGTAAAGAAAATTCCTAAGAAACATACATAGGACACCTTCCGACGCAGCATACTCATCAAAATCCCAGAGTTGAGCTGCATAGCTCAAAATAACAATAGTTGAAAATATATAATACAAAAAAATATTTTAGTCAATGTATGGGGATTAGTGACCGTTAATCGATATTTATTTAGAAATCGGGAGATGCGGTCTGGTGTGATGTAGGTTTCAGAAAAACATTTTCTTTATCGCGCCAACGTTTCGATCTTTATTGAGAACATCTTCAGGGCCTGGGATTTACAAATATAGTTTAAATTTAAGCAATACATGTAGGATGTGGAAAAAAGTGAATTTATACAATGCAAAAAATATTTTTTCCAATTCTATATTCAATCAAAATATTTCTACTAAATACTTTGATTGAATATAAACAATTACATTTTGGATGTTGGAAAAGTGCATTCATACAATGCAAAATATATTTTTTTATATATTCAGTCAAAGTATTTCTACACACTTTACAAAACACTTTAAGTGAGTAGAAATACTTTGATTGAATATATAAAAAAATATATTTTGCATTGTATAAATTCACTTTACCACATCCAAAATGTAATTGTTATATGTAAACAATGTTTGTAAATCCCAGGCCCTGAAGATGATCTAAATAAAGATCGAAACGTTGGCACGATAAAGAAAATGCTTTTCTGAAACCTACATCACACCAGACCCCATCTCACGATTTCTAAATAAATATTTTAGTCAATAGTTAACGTAAGAGAAACTTACTGCAACTTAGATTACCTACAAAGTACCTCCTTGCTAAAAATATAAAAACTGCTGTGTGTAGCCACCTATTTTTATAAAAAACTATTTTCTCTAGTTTTAAATTACTATTTGTACAGTTTTTCTTTTTTATATTAAAAACCAACGGTTCTGGAAAGGAGTGTTGGTTGCAGATTGGGGGTCACCCAACGGGATTTTAGAGCACTTTCGAGTTAGGTCAACGGTATGACGTCTCTAAGGTGTAATTGTCTGAATCCAAGGCTTTAAAAACTTTCTGAAATAGTGTTGAAATTTGATAATTCCAGTGTTCAACACTGAAGTATTTGTATGAAAAACAGAATTGTCAAATTTTGACGACCGAGGGGTCTACGAGCCGAGAATACACGCTAACCACTTTTGATTTTATTTGAATAGAAACATTTCTATCATGTCCTACTGTTGTTTTTTAATTGAAAATTAAGTTAAATTTTTGCAACAAACACGCTTATTATCTATCACTAGGAGTTTGTTGAAGTGTGATGAATTTTGTACAGATTATAGCCATTTAACGAGAAAAAAGTTTAAAATTAAAAATATTCCAATCAAAACTTTTTTGTTTTGATGTAAGAGAGGCTTCAGTATACTGAAAAAAGTATGATTTTTTGGGGGTTTTCTATAAATGTCTTTAGCAACATTTTGGAAGTTAAGGATGTTTCTAAATCGCGTAATCCAGAAGCACACAAGATTTTTTCTTGCTTTTGCCTGTCCATATATTGTATTGCGAATATGAATTATATGAAAAAAATATTACAGAAAGTTTAATTTATGATTTTTTTAGGGGATGCAAGGCCCGTAGAGCCGCAAGTCTTGCCTGCCGTCCCCGGCTACATTCCCGTCTACATCCAAACCGGCAACACGCCCCCAGACATCGAGGCCTTGTACAAAAGCGTAGTCCTCTCACCGCCGAAGCGGGAGACTTCGCCAAGAAAGGACTTCGCCGAAGGGTTCCAGCAGGAGGTTGAGCCCGTACCAATGAAACTCGAAGTCCCCGAGAAGCTCGAAGTCACGAAAGAGAAAGAGGACGAAGTAATGAAAGAAGAGCCGAAAAAAGAAGTCGAACTGGTAGAAACCAGTCCTGTCGAGAAGAACCAAACCCCTCAAAACAAAGACGAGCAGACCCATAAGGCAAAGGAAGAGACCAGAAAGGCAATCGGCCAAATAAGAGAAATTCCTCAATATGAAGTAAAAGAACCCAAACAGGAATAATTTGTAATTCTAGAATATTCTAGAATATGGTTATTTTAAATTATTCCTAATTTTTTAAATGATTATAAAAAATAACTTATTTTGAAATCAAAATGTAATGATGTAACTACGTCTAGTCTTTCGAACTGTAACAATAAAACTATTTCATAATTTTACAAACAAACTCATTTATTCCAATGAAATTTTTGTAATTGTACATCTAGTTTAATTAAAAGTCTTCTTAGACAATGAAGGACCATTTGATAACATTTTAAAGCAATGGTTACATCACTGAAACAGCGAGGAAATGATGAAACCTGCTGCAGATGATAGAATCAGTGCTAAAAAGCAGAAAAGTGCAGGCCTTCATGTTACACGAAAAGGTAGAAGCAGTAGTGACGAGAAGATGTCCGCAAGGAGGAATACTCTCGCTTATGTTGTGGAATGTGGTAGTGGATGACCTCATATGCAAACTAAATGAAAGCGGAATCTATAGCTAAGGCTATGCAGATGACAGGGAAAATTCTACTCAACATTAAAAGAGCTCACTCAAAGAGCACTAAACAAAAACAGCAAACACGGTCGAACAATGGTGTTCACAACCGGGACTTTTTGAACAGGGGAATTTTTGAGCATGAAACCGACTTTTGAAGTGGGGAATTTTTGAGCATAAGTCTTGATTTATCATAAAATTTTAAAAGTTTTTTTTTACTGGATGGTTTTTAATTGTTTTATAAGCCATTAAATGCCTTGATTAGCAAATTTTAATTGAACAGTAAACAGGAACTTATAAAACTTATTATAAATTAAGACTTTCATGCACGAAAATCAACAAATTAATCTGGTTCAATTCCCAATGCTTGAAATTAAACCTAACCCAAAAATTCGTCCTGGCTAAATTAAATTGAACTGTTCAATTCTCTTAAAATGTAAATGCCATAAAACTATATTAAATAATGAATTACATAAATTATTTAATCAAAGAGATAAGATCTTATTCACATTAGGCTTGCCTCATTATTATCTCCAGTAGATTGGGATAAACTCGATTATGCGAAACTTTCAAAAGTTAAATTTATCATTGATAAAAAATAAAATACCTTGGATAAAAAAAATTAAAACCATAAAGTACGACCCACTTAAAAATAATCACAAAGACGAAACAACTCCCAAAGTGTTATTAACTCAACAAACGTGGTCCTGAACAAAGAAGAAAATAATTTATTAAATAAAGGCTTAAAATTTGTCCCAAAAACAGAACTAGTTAGAACGAAACACTATCCCTTGGTTCATCAGTTAATTGTGGTAAAATAAATAAAATATAAATGTGCTGAATTAATTAAACCACACTTGGCAACTCTAAACGCCAAAAACTCAATATTCCACGTACAATTACTGCTATTGATAAAAAGTTAAAAAGTAACAACAACGATATTTTAAAAGCTGATAAAGGAAATAGTATAGTTAGCATTGGACACCATAATTAAGTTTCTAAAGTTGAAGAATTCCTAATCACTAATGATTGTAAAGAAATACAAAAAGACCCCACCTTAAAATTAATAACTAATGTTCAAACAGCCATAAAAAATAGTGAGTTCGTATTCTCAAATGACCAATATGCAATTAAAAAACGTATACCAATGTACCCAAAACTCCCAATGCTATACGGCATGGTCAAAATTCACAAGGAAAACAAACCTATAAAACGCGTGGTGTTTTTTATAATTTTTAATGCCAAAAACTCGCGATTATAATTGACAAAATCATTAAAACTCACTCTAATTTCAAACCTGCATTCAGTAATAACAATTATTTAGAATTAATAAAACAGTTAAAGAACATATATGTACCTATCAATTGTGTTTTAGTGCCTGATGTTACTAATTTATTCACAAATATCCCTGTTAAAGAATAAACAAAACTAATAAAACCAAAACTTACGGAGAAATTCTATTAACAATTTGTAAAAATTCAAAAATAAATATATAGCCTTCTTTCTAATTATTTTAAATTCAATAATATATTTTATGAAACGAAATGGTTACAAATGGCGTCTCCATTATCCCCACTTCGTGCCGAAATATTCATGGATAACTTCGAAAAAATTATTTTCAAACCAAATAAAAAATTAATTAAATCTGTTCTTTTTTGGAAACGCTATGTACACGATATTTTATGCATATGGTCAAGAACAATAGAGGATGTAAAAAAATTTCTCCAACTAATTAATTCTTTACACCCGAATATAAATTTTAGATTGGAAATAAATAAAGATGGTTGTTTTAAATAACTTAATTGAAATAGACGCTGATTTCATTTCATAGACCTTATGTTGAAACTTCCATTAGCACCTATTAACTATAAAAAATAATTACAAATAATTAAAACCTTAGCTAAAACAATGGGTTCCAAGAAATATTTAAGGAAAAATTACTAGTAGAAAGAATAAAAAATTAACAATTGGACTCAGCCAACCCACCAAAAATGAATCATTAGATTTTCGTTGTCATACATTGGTGAACTATTGGTTGATGCAATATTAATGCAGTTTTAAAATTTGTTTTATTTTTGCAGGTGCTTGTAAACAAAGCTAAATCCTCAAATCTAATTTACGGATTATAATAAATACTTTCACCTGTTATCTTTTATAGAAAACATTTTAGTTTTTACAATTAATTAAGGTTTTTTGGTTGAGATAGAAAAGTCAATGGCACGAGCGGGATTCGAACCCACGATCTTCGGCTAGATACGCCGCTGCTCTACCACTTGAGCTATCGTGACCTCGATCCACTCGGACATTTTATCCGGTAAAGGGGGGCACCTTTTGAATTTTCCCTCCTTTTTGCCATTTTTCAAAATTTCGTGTAATCGGATTAGATTCTCCAACCTTAATTAATTGTAATGTATAACCCACGATCTTCGGCTAGATACGCCGCTGCTCTACCACTTGAGCTATCGTGACCTCGATCCACTCGGACATTTTATCCGGTAAAGGGGGGGGGGTCTTGTGCCGTAGAGCTCACGGTAGCGGGCCTTCCCGGTAGGGCAGAACAGTTGGGAGTTTGGGACCTTCCTAGTTCCTGGGTACAATACCGGCCCTTGTGAGGGCCCGCAAGGTTCAGCTCAGAAGGACCCCAATAGAAATGTAAATTATTGGAACCTTTTTGTAACCTCTGTTATTAGTTAGTCCTGTAAGCTAGTGCGATGCAATACAGTGTTACTTGTGTGTCTCGTGTTTATTTTGAATCAATCCCAACAAAGGTTATGGTTTCTGTTTGGTCGTGCTACTGCTGGGTCGTTCGCTATAATTTCCTGAATTATGGTGAAACTCTCACAGAAGAGAAATATTGCCAAGAAATGTCAAATTGCACCATTTGTGTTTTTTGTATCCATTCTTTGATGGAGTATTTGTTTTGTTAATCCAATATAAGCCTATAAATGGCCTCTGGATCCTCTGGCCAGTGTGTCTGATTTTTCGTTATTCAAAATTCCTTTGTTTGTTGGCCTGGTTCCCAAGAAATCATGAGGTTGAGTTTTCCCCAGGTTTTGGAGATTTTTGGTGCATTCACAGAAGAGATTTTTTGTGATTATTTACATTGCTTTAATATTGCTTTACTAGCTGTTCGGCTATCCGAACACATGAGGATTTTTTTTGCCATTGTTACTTCTTTTAGGATTTTCTAGGGTACAAGCGTTGATGACATGTTTTTCAACTTGAAAACCAAAGTGTGCTTCCCTAATGAAATTCTAGCAGCGACAGTCAATGACCTAATACTTCTGAAAAGGATTGAGTTGATTAGAATGAACTATGGAACCAGTTAGGTACAATAAGCCAGAAGACTGGCTTATTTATCCCGTCTGTCATCGGCCTTCTTACACTACACAATCCGGCCATACTTCACACATGCTAGGGATACAAAACTATCATTACTATGTTTAGTGACTGGGTGTTTTGTGGCCCTGAAAAGGGCCGGTGTTGTTTTTTAGCGTCGAGACGATGGATTGAGGCCGAGACCGTGTGCGTGGTGCCATTGGTGGTGGTCTGTGACCGAGTAAATCGTTGGCTGAGTTCCGGGGACCTTGAGTCGGTTGATTCCCCAGAGGCTGAAGGTACTGGAGTGCAGGTATTAGCTGAAGGGCAGCAGTTGGCGTTTATAGCCAAGTCGGCTGTTTAGTAAGCGAGAATCAGGCTAATGCTGCGACCTGCGAGTAGTACCCTTGCTGTCGTCGTCGGTGTTCCATTAGTGATGGGTGAGACCTCGTCGTGTCGACGAGTCTGGTGTAGTTGACCATTAGTGATGGATGAGACGTTATCGTGCTGACGAGTCTGATTTCAGTGGGGCAGTGCGCCTGCTTATATTTGGAAGAGCACTACTCTGATTGGCTGAAGAGTGGAGGGCGAGAACATTCCATAAGTGGTAATGGCGTCTTGCGGTAACGTGGTAACAAGTGGTCACTACACTATGACAATAAACAACCCTGCTTTCTCCAAAAATCATAACGGTGGATCCTGACACTTGCTGCCTTGCTCAAGCATGATTCTCATATCGGGTTGAATTCCTGCATGCTCTCTATATGGAGCGAAGGTAATGCACCCCTCAATTAGGTGAGACACATTGAGCATCCTATCTCTACATGCCGGACACATACACTTGCATTGGCCCAAAAGTAATATGTCAATCTTGCATGGTCTAGCCTTAATCGAATCATCTATTATTCATGTTTTTTTTATTGCATTTTTAACATCAGAGAGCCAGATTCCGGTGATTAAGTCTGGAGGTTGGGACATCCCAGCCTAATACACCGCGTCTGCCTATTCGTTTCCCTCCAGCCTATGTGACTCAGAACCTAGATAACAACTACCATTTTGCCGAGACACTCCAGTTCATGGTATTTCTCCAAGAGCAAGACTAAAAACGTTACAAAAAGTTACAACTCTTACAGTACAACATTTCACAGAGTGTAATAAACAAATTTTTTTTACTTAACTTAATCATGGAAATTCACTAAAGATGGTAAAATGCTGAAACAATTTGCAACAGTTAAAATCATTCAAATCAGCTAGAATAAGGTAACCTAGATGATCGGTAAGGATCAAATTACATGTACATGTTCATCACCCTGCAGGAGGAAATCTCACAATAAAATAATATAC